TGTGTTTAGCAAGTCACACCTAACTCTTCTCTTGCACCCCACTGAAACAGATTGCTCTAAATGAGAAGAAACACTTCCAAATGAAAACATTTTAAACAATGCAGCATTTACAACAAGGCCATGGCTTTGCTCCTGAGTTCTGCAGCAGTGGATGGATCTAGACTGAGCAAGTGGCTGGAGCAAGGCCCAGGCTGGCAGGGGTTAACATGTCACTGTCGAGGGAGCTGAGGGCCAATCTGGCCCAGCAGGCTATTTTTTGCACCATAAGGGCATTGCAGTAAAAAAAACTTCCTCTCTTCTGACCTCTTCACCTGGGCAGGCTGTACATGTGCAGGCCATTGCCAAGTTAGCAGGGACCCGTTTCACAGGAAGCTGGGGTCCTCAGGAAACTCCTGCCTGCAGGAACACAAGTGTCATGCGTTTCCACCTCAAACACCTCTTCTTTTTTTTTTTTTTTTGATCATTCACGGTGCCCTCAACCCAGCCTTTGTGTGAGGGGCTGCTGTCTGAGGCAGCAGAGGCTGCAACAAGCTGTGCATGGCAAAGGCAGCTGAAATCTAAAGCCAAGAGCAGCCCCTGATGGCTTCCATGTGGGACAGGTCCCACCAAATCCCAACAGCCGCGGGCAGGTCACCCCCTCCTCGCCCTTCCTCTGCTGATAGGGAACCCCTCTTCAGTGTCTCCTCCTTCTCCTCAGCTTGTCACAAGGATCCAGCGTCCTGCTGCCAGCTACATCCAAACTTTTGTTGCACCAAAAGGAAAGGCAATGCATTCCATTGAGGAGCTTATGGCATTTCAAAGGGTCCCTTCGTGCCACACCACAGTGCACAAACCCAAGCAGCACACAACTGAGCAACCTGTCCACATCCAGCTTTTAACTAACAGGGTCAGGATACGGTGGAAAATGAGCTCTGAGATACACATATGCTGAAAGCGCGACAGTTATCACATTGTGTCCTTCAGTGTGAAAACCGCTGCAACCCTGTTACTGGAATGTGTTTGTCTTCACAGTAAACAACTCAGGCCAGGTGGAGAGGTCCTTCATACACACGAGAAATCCTTTCATTTGGGGGCTGCACACCTTTCAGAAGACGAGTCCTGAAACTACCTACAAAAATCCTGTTCTGCGAGACAAGCTGCAGCAGCAGGAGATGAAGTTATTTGCACAAGGGACTCGCCTAAAGCAAAACAGCAGAACAACACCTGTCCCAGTCAGGAGGGCTCTCCCCTGCAAAGCTGCACATGCTCGGGGCTCTGTCCTGATACTGCTTAATTTGGCTCTCGGGGAGTTTTTCAAAGCAGGGATCACACCTGACAGGCATCCTCCTTTGTGTCTACAGAGCCTCTCAAAGGATGCTAGTGTTTGCTTATAGTGGCAGAACTGGGGCTGATTTCCATCCCGTAGTACACTGCTTCTCTGCAGAAGAGAAGTGCTCTATGCTCTCTGCTCTCGAAGTGCTTCCTACCAGACTGAAGTCTCACAAAGCTGACCAGGGAGATAGGATGCAGCTGTATGCCCAGGGGAACCAGAGACACAGCAGCTTTCCACACATGGGGACTTGCCTGGGTGGAGAGTTTTCTTAAGGCTGAGGAAACTGATGCATCAATCAGAAATGAAGCTGATGCTGACTAAGAGGTTTTTCCTCTTCCCGTTACATCCCCTACAGCTCAAGAGGGAATTTCCTGCCTGGATGCAATCCGGAGAACCCATCCCACAACACGGATGAGTGGGAAGGAGTGAGCCCTGGCACAAGGCCTGCACCCATGCTGGCAGCATGCTTCCTCACCTGGCAGCACAGCCTCACATCTCAGAGCCAGCTGTCCCAGCAGCTGCTTCCATCTTAATTCAAACAGAGCCAATGACCTGTATTTTTTCAACACATAAAATACATAGCTTAAATATATATCACAGAATCACAGAATCACAGAATCACCCGGGTTGGAAGGGACCCCAAGGATCATGTAGTTCCAACCCCCCTGCCTAGCAGGGCCACCAAACATACACATTCAGATATATATGAGGAAAAAAAAAAAAAGGTAAAAAGAAAAAAAGATGCCAATAATCAAAAAACCATGTGTAGTTATGCTACTAAAACTTTCCAATGCAGACAAAAACAACCATGCACAACAGCCAACAACAGCTCGTCAGGGCCCTCCAGACAGTGAACACTGTCACATGTTGTGTCAACACAGGGCACTTCCAGTATTCATTATCAGTTGCACACATGCAAACACACCCTCTTGTAAGAACACCTAGAGCATTAAAATCTTGTGCTCATTTCCAGTAATTTTCATCCAAGATTTACCCTAGCCTAGGGCTGCAATACTTGGCTGGTGTGCACTCCAGGGGTTGTTCTATTCCTGTTCAAAAGCTCACAGTCACTGGATTCATTTATTTATTATATTTTGGTAACAGAGTCACTTCTGTTGGCCCCAAGCACTTGCTGAACACAAAGGGGTAAACCGAGCTTTGAAACAGACAGCTTAAAACTCTCTCCTTAGTAACGTGGTTTTCTGAGAACCTTTTGCTCACTGCCAACGAGTGACAATTATCTGGTGAATAAAATACATAACTGCAGCTTCAAAATCACGAGACATTTCTGAAAATATTGGATATAATCTTCAGTGTCTCTTGGGTTTGGTCTAAACTGACAGTGACTTAAAGCGATGTCTCCTGAAGAAGGCCTGGGCAGGAGAAGACTCACTGAGATGAAAAAGTAGTCTATATGCCTATGAAAAAGGGAAAGTCCTATGCAATAATTATTCTCGGCATTTAATCCTGCCACAATACTTTGAGTTGTGACTGCTTAGACAGCAGAACAGTAGTTTTTTGGTTTTTGTTTGTTTGTTTTCTGTCTCCAAACTCATTTACAAAAAAACAAAAAAAAAAGCCCCTAGGTAGAATAGAAGTATGCTCAGCAGCATATAAGGGAATGAAGCCCTTTGGCAAGCAGAAAGATTGTGCAAACTGGACCAGGGAAGGTCTACGGTACACAGGCAGTGAGGAGGACAAGGTAATGCTTTGCCTTCCAAATCCTTCTGGCTGCTAAGAGCGCTACTGCATATGTCCTAAGGCACCTGGGAGTTACCCTACCACTGCTGTAATAATTCAGCACACTGACACCATCTCTTCATCCTGGAAAACATATTATGTGAGTGGGTGCTGAACACCTACAATCATTTGAAACCTGGCACCATTTGCAACATGAGGCCAAAGAGTGGGAAACTTGCTCTAAATACCATAAAGGAAAAGGCACATTACCAGCTAGGGTAGCTATCAAGGCTATCTTTAGCCAAAGTTTAAATTCATTCACATCTCCTCAGTAGCAATACTCTGCCTTCACTCGTTTCTGTAAAACAGTCTCTGACCTAAGAACACCCCATGGCAGGATGGAGGGGAGGCCATCACAAACAGTCTCTCCAGAAAGCCACTGGGGCTGAGGCCTTCCAGTCAATTTCACCCAAACATTCCACACCCACCCATAGCAGAGGGGCTCAGAGAGCAAAAACCCTACAGTGTCCAGGCTATAAAGGGGTCTTACAGCTTTTCCTTCTTGCCAGCCCTAACCCTCTTTGGCACTGTCACAGAACCAGAAGCAGGCACTGAATGCTCACTGAGTGCCCAGAGTGCCATAAAGGCACTTAGGAGGAGGGATGCTCTTTGCCAGATGACAAGATCTTGGGAGCTATAAAATAATAACTAAATACAAGAGCCATGTGGCGGGGGAAAAGGGCCAGTTAACACTCTGCCTTTAAATTGCAGCTGGCACAAATCAGCAAACTTCAGTGACTGCTACAGCAAAGAGTCAGTTCTCTTCTTCCCAGTTGTGTTTGTTTCAGAAGCACAGTGGGAGGACTGCTGGGAGAGAAGAGCAAGGGGCAGCTGGATTGGATCTCCCCTGACAGCTACTCTCCTGCTGCCTTCCTTACAGCAGGCACTTGTAGCAAGGCTGGTTTGATCTAGGGCTTGCGCGTAGCTGACCCAGCCCTAGATAGCACCACTGGCTCTCTGTGGGCTCCTTGAGGCCGCTGATCCCTTCCACAGCATCAGGCTGGTTTAACCGGTGGAGCAGCACATCTCCTGACAGTGCTGGAGTCAGCAGAAGCCTGGATGGGAGCGTAATGCAGGGATGGGCACTCTCAAAGCAGACAGAGACTCTGAAAAGGTTGTGCAGCTGTTGGCTGTGCGGAGATTGCACTGTCCAAATTTTGCCCAGAAGTAACTTCTTATGTGTGCACACAGACTACAGGAACAGCATCTGGTGCGTGCAGCCGTGCTCAGGGTGTGCAACAGCACTGCGTGCTCAGCCTGAGCACTCGAAGTGTACTGCTGCAGTGGGGTGGCATCACCAACCTGTCTGTAGGAAATGGAGCTGGGAACAGCCCTGCCACGTCCCCTCAGCCCACATTGTAGCCAAGGCAGAGGTATTCACTGTGAATACAAAACCTGGGATTTAAGTGGGGGAAAGGGAAAAGGAAGAAAAGAGAAAAGGAGGGAGGAAAAGGAGAAGAAAGAAAAAGAGAGAAAAAGGTAAAAGGAAAAAATAAATAAAAAGGAAAAGAAATTAAAAAAAAATGAAAGGTTTAAAAATGGAAGATAAAAAGGCGGAAAAAGAAAAGAACAGAAAATGAAAAAGAAAGGAAAAATGAAAAGAAAGGAAAAGACCCACTCTGCTCTCTTCCCCACCCAAAGCATTCCAGCCTTTCCTTTCCTGCCACTTGAGAGGGGGGTTGTTTATTGACATTATGCAAGTGCTGAAATATTTTTCTTTTTCTGCTCTCCCGTCTTTTTTTTTTTTAAAAAAAAGTTCTTCCCCCTCCCTCCTCTGGGGGTTGCGAAGGTAGTTCAAACCCCTCCAGCCATCTCGGCTTATCAGTCGAGGGAGATGCATTCCTCAGGGCTGCTCCCTTTATAAGCCGCCGCCGGCCGCCCGCGCGCCGCAGCCCGCGCAGTTCCGCGCCCTGCCATGCCCTAACCCGGCCCAAAGGACGCGCGGCAGCGCTGGGAGAGCCCGGCGGCGATGCCCCCCCGGCGCTGAGTCGCGCTGCCGCCGGGATGTTCGCCTGGCACCGGAGCTTTCCCCTGGGAGCGCCCTGGAAGAGAGGTGAGCCCGGCCGCCCCGCGGCACACCCCCGGCCCCGCTCCTCCTTCCCTAAGGGTACTTAGGGCTGCCCGGCCCGGCCCGCCCCGCTCCCGGCCCGATGCTGCGCTCGCTGTTCTCCGGCTGCCTCTGTCCCCACGCAGGTAAGGCGGCAGCGAGCGGCCCGGGCTGCGGAACCCGCTTCGCTGCCCCTCTGAAAGAGGCTCAGCTCGTAAGCGCGGATGGGCTCGGGAGGGAGCGGGAGAGACGGGAGAGCCCTGACTCGAGCGGGCTGCGGGGCCACGGGGGCACGGTGAAAGAGGGGATTAGCATCTGTAGAGGCTGTGCGCGCTTTTATCTCCGCGGGCATTGTTGTGGCTTTGCACGGACGTGAGGCAGAGCAGGTCTGCGTGCCTGCCGCCGTGCCGGCGATGGGCACCTCCTCGCTGTCGGGGCTGGCGCATCCCCATCCAACGCGGATTATCGCGGCTCTGAGAGGTTTTGCTCGTTCCCTTCTGCTCAGCATAGACGAGGTGAGGCTGGCAGAGAGGCTGTAAGCTGGTATGCTCTTAGTCTGCTTGTTTCAGGCACGCGTGGTTGGGTACGTTATATCCCTGCAGCAATTCAGCAGGCTTTGAGACTGCGAGCCCAGGCAGTGGTATCCCCTTTGCACCTCAGGGTGCCCCTCAGCTGGAAGCACGGTCTGTGACTTTCATCTACTCTAACATCACTGCACGGGTTCCATTTGCTTGGCACAGAGGTGGCTGCAAACACTCTTCCAGAATTTAAGCATATTGTGCTGCACAACAGCAGGATGGTAAAGGCGTGCGAGATGATGCACTGGAGTGATTCTGCTTCCAGGGGTCTTCACCTCCCACCTGCACACTAAGCTGTGGGGCCAGTAGGCATCACCTCGATGCAAAGGGCTGGCTTTAGCAGCAAGCTAATCAGTGCTGCTGCTAGAGCACACCAGCATCACCACAAGATGAGGAGAATGCTTGAAAACGTACATTTTTACAGAATAGTGGAAACTGCTTTTTTTCCTCCTCTGTGCATTATTTGGCCACAAACTTGTTTCCTCAAAGCAGTATAGAGCAAGTCTACAGGTGAAGGTCCTGGTGGTGGCAACAGACTTACCACACAGGGCACAGAAGAATTAAAAGAGGCTCAGCTAGGAACAGTGAGGGCACTCGCTAGTCACATCATCTGGAAAGAAGCATCAAGTATGACTTGCATCCTGGTTTGGGCCCCAGCTCCATGCAGAAAGAGCCAAGAATTTGCTGTTCCTTGCAAGCTCTGTAGCAGGGACTATAAAGTTGCATTCCAAATGCAGCTCCCAAGGCAGAATACAAACTAAACAATGATTTTAGAGATGCTGCTCAGTAGCAGAGGTATAGGCTGGATCTGACTCCCTTTTTTGAAAAACTGTTGTAACAGGTGGAAGAACCTCATATCAGCAAGTTCAGTCTAATGCAGTTGCAGAAGTCTGCACATCTCCTCATCATCATTTCAGGGGAGGTTCAGGATGGAGATTAGGAAAGATTTCTTCTCAGAAGTAGCAGTGCACTGGCACAGGCTGCCCAGAGAGGTGGTGGAGGGTCACAGTCCCTGGAGGTGTTCAAGAAACGTGGAGGTGTTGCACTGAGGGACATGGTTAGTGGGCATGGTCAAGGTGGGTTGATGATTGGACTAGATGAACTTAGTGGTCTTTCCCAACTTTAATGAGTCTATGATCTCTAGCGCCAAGGAGAGCAATAAAATAAGGAGTCCTCGCCATCCACACTGTCCCTATGTAAGATTTCTGATGTACTCTTCAGTACATTTATGCTTGTCTGCTGCTTGGTTGTTTGAGCTGAAGTAGCTCTCCAAGGTTTTGTCTGGGGACAGAAATGACTGCCCAGGAAGAACAGGTTAATAGCCCCAGCAACCTTTCTGACATAATTCATGAGTTCTTTTGACTTTAGCAGAAGCTTTGGGGTCTTAACGGCTTCAGTCCATAGAGCTATTGAACAACTGTTTATCCAAGCTTATTATAGGCAATAAAACCTGAATTACTGCATACCTGTCATCCCTGGGGGGCAAGTTCCATCCCTGCAAAGGGCCTCCTGTCTCCCTGCACATTTCTGGCTGAATATATCTTATGACATGAGGTAGCCTGCAAATCAGATGAGCAAGGGAAGTAGCTTCTAGATTAAGCAGTTTTGCCCAGGTGTTTTCATTTTCTGCTCAGACACATTAGCATGCTGCATGTTAGATAACCAGTTTGATTGCTGTTATACTCAGCTGTTCATGAAATACAAAGTTAAAAAATAATTACACAAAATGTTGCTGTAAAGGATTCCGGCCTGCGCTCCCTCCGTTGCACTCCTACATGAAGGGACACAGGATATATTGGTGGTTGTCACAGCTCTAAGGATGCAAAAGTCAGTGATGAGCGGGTGATGCTCTTTAGCTGGTGCTATGAGTAAGGTCAGGTGCCAGCCCCTACAAGCACTCAATGAACCAGGTGGTCTATGGGGACCTGCCGTGCCGCAGGACTTTCTGCCAGAGGTCACTCAGTTATCAGACCTGTCGCTCTGTTTCAAAAGAAACTTCACTGGTCACTCAGAATGAATAGAAGCAAGCAATAGAAGTGTCAAGTGGCCTCTCTACTTGGGTAAACTAAAGAGGAAATGGTTTTCCATCTATATCCATCAGTAAACAATCCATCTCCCTCTCATTGCACCTCAAATGCCTGAAAACAAGTATAATTATGTCCTTTTCTACTAAAACATACATGTTGAAGTGCTGATGCCTCCTCAGAGTCCTTGAACTCTGTTATCTTTCTCTCAGCATTTATTCTATATGGAATTATCATTACCTGCTGCAGCTCTGGGGTTATCCATAACCTTTTAGGTCATACAAGATTACCAAACCACCATCCAGAGGAATTATCACATTGTATTAGCAAACTACAATCCAGAGGGACTTCAGACACAAATGACAGCGAGACCGGGGAGCATCGCGGATCAATCCAAGAACTTTCTGTTCAAAGACTGTCCAAGATCTCAGCTTTGTTATGCTTTTTTCTTTGCATCCAGCATTTCAAATGAATCAGCTGTATATATACATACATGCATTTAAGTTCTCTAATGAATATAAATGCAAACTCTAAGAAATAGGTCTATCACGCAAACACCCAGTTACCACATGGGAATGCATTCCTCTGCAAATATGAGTTTTCCTCTCACAATCCCTCCCTTCCCCACTCCCCCTCTACTCCTTCCACAAAAAAAGCTGCCCTTGCAGGTGGAGGCTGTAACTGGTACACTGAGACCCAAAGACCTCCATAAGCTTCCCCAGAATTTCTCATGCTCAGAATTGTCTTAACTGCATAGGAAACCACAGGGGGCTCATCTGTGCAACAGCCCTCTGTACCCATGAGACTGTGCAAGGTACAGGACAACCACTGTCCAGCTACAAAAGTAATAGCCCCTGTGCACCCTGCAGCAGGGCCAGCACTGAGAAGTAGGTGACAACCCAACCTAACCCCTAGAACACATGGTGGAAGAGTCAGCAGCAAAAAATGCCTATTGTTTCAGAAAGGAAGTGACCCTTTTCTCTTAAATGCTGGGAAATTGAGACCTCATCATCGGCAAGGAAAAAAATCTCTTTGCAGTGAAAGGGAAATGCCACCTGAGCTGTGCAGCCAGCAGTGTTAGGGAACACAGAGGCAACAGAACTAGAGGGAGGTTTTTTTTTGTTTTTTTTTTTTTTAAAAGGAAGGAAGGAAAATGAGGGAATGCAAGGGCTGAGTGGGAGAGGCAGCCTTTTGCTTCTAGGTCATGAGAGTGACTCCAGCTCACTAGTCACTGCTGCCTTGTGACTCTTTACAGGTCTGTATAGGGTGATCACTTTTCACTGTACTTGGAGACCCAACTCCATCACAGAACTGAACCTTTGGCACAATTGGAGCCAGAGATGGGTCACCAAGCAAGCTGCACAGTTCCAAAAAACCTTTCTATGGGGTTTCACAGGCACATCTTTGTCCTGTGCTCAGGGCACAGTGGTGCGATTTGACTTCAGCCTCCCTTGGAAGGGTGGCTGTGCAAAATTGTTGATGTTCCAATAACCCAAGCCACTGATGATGCTCTCTATTTCCTATGCTCTGTTCCTGTAGCACACTACAGCTGGGGACTACCAGCCTTCTGGGCACAAGTCCAGAAAGTGCCAAGGGTCACGTAGTAGGAACAGGCACCTGAGCATCTCAGGACTGCTCACCTCATGCTTCTGCCTGGGACTGCCACCCCAATAACCCTGCTAGCACCACATGGAGCAGACAGGTTCACTGTGTACGTGAATCTTGCAGCACTTCTGGGGCCAAACAGAGGGCTCTGGTGGCTCTCACGCTGCTATCACTTGCAACACAATGGCCAATTGAGATAAAGAAAGCTTGGCTCCGGCTAGATCAGTCACTGTGAACCGATAAAACCGATTCTCCCCTTGCCAAGCAATCCACAAATCAGAATGAACGTTTTGAGAAGATGGATGGGCACAGACCATAAGGGAGGAGAGCAGCACAGGGCAACACCATATCAAGTAGTTCATTTGCATGACACCAGCTCCTCAGGAAGCTCCATGCTGCCACCGGCAGCACTCTAATGTCTCTTCCACCTCCAGTCCTTTTATTAACCAGATAACGCTGTGATGCAATACTCGAGTCAGTACATCAGAGACCAATACACAGATCATAAGAGAAAAGACGTGACCTGGACTTCAAATGCTTTGGAGTATGGGGATTTAAATAAAGCCTGTTTAGTAGAAGGGTGGGGGCTTTTGCAGGAGTTCAGTCTGGGCAGGGCTGGGATTGCCCTTGTTTTGGATTATTGTGCAAGTGTTTCTCTTGCACAAAACTTACTTGGGTTAAAGAAAATGCTTGAAAGCACTTCCATGCTTACACACTCATCCTCCTTCCTTAGGTCAGAGTTGTCTGTATTAATGTACTAGGCTGTGCCCTGGCAGCTGCTGGTTATTATGAAACAGGAAAAATGCACTTGGACTTAAACTTCCAAGGAAAGGAAAACCTCAGAACAGCAGCAGATGTGAGGATTTAAACTTCTCTGCCAGGCTTTGCTATCTGCCAGAGGAGTATCCTAGAAAGCAGTTTGGAAATATAGAAAAATAACATTCAAGGGATTCAGCTGAGATACACCGGTTCCTTTCTCTCCCTACCAATTACCTGCAGATATCAGGTAGTGCACTGTTACTACCTCCTCATTAGGTGGGAAGCAGCCTTATCCTCCAGCTCTTCCATTGCAGGAAACCCAGCAACTTGCCCAAGGTTATACTTCATCAGTCACTGTCAGCTACTGGCTTACATTACAACCCAGGGAATCCTGTTTATCTCTGGTGCAATTACAGAGCCATATAACCCCTTGAGAGGGCTACTAAGAAAACAGCACAAGTTCACCCAAGACAACATTTGACCTGGGTGCTGCTTTGGCAATGTTGCCAAAGGTGCTGCAGGAAGCCATATCATTTCTAAGCACACACACAGCTCTATTCCCCATAGCGTTACCACACCAGCACCTCAGCCACGTGTCTGAAAGCAGCATCTTCTGGTACCTTACACACACCACTTCTGGGGTGTGGAAAACCAACCCAGGGCAAGGGAAACAAAACAAAAAGAAGCCTTGGCTGTTTTCCCAGAGAGCAGTCAGCATCAAACCTGGCCGGCCTCCAGCACAAGTAAATTTCATCTTACCAGCCTTAATGCTGCCCTTCTGTTCTCTGAAGTGCTTCACACCTTCTTTCAAAGCGCTGCACAGCTCTGTAACTCTAGCCCTACAGCACGCTCCACCAGCACCCAACAGGAGGCCAGCTTCCCAGCTTTGTATTGCTTGTTGATTGCTATTGTATAAATACTTACACTTACAATCTAGACCCCCTCAGCTCAAAGCACAACCTTACTAAGGCCCTTGCTAATGGGTTAATTTATAGCATCTGAAGGCTTGGGTTTTTTTTTTTTCAGTTGCACAGGTGAACATTAATTACACCCTTCTGGTGTTTATTGGCAAGGTGTTTGAAAGAGCTGAATATTTCTGTATGCTTCTTTCAGGATCTGTAGCAGAAACAATCTACACTTTGGGAGGCCCATGGTGTAGACTCTATGACCCATTTACATAAAGGAAACTATTCCTTAAGAGAGGTGAAGCAAGAACTTGAGTTTCAGGTTGCTGCCTTAATCATGGATGATGTCTTTGCTGTTGCACAGCTGACCTCACTGACCACAGGAAAGTATCACTGAATGACTGAGGATTGGCTGCTTAGATGTCTTGCAGAATCCAGCCATCCTTTACATCCATTCTGAGCACATGGTGCAAGATAACATTTTGCATCATTATCATAAGGGGCTGGGAGCATAACTCAGCAATGTTCTAACACTGTGGTTACTGGGACCTGTCAGTGCCAGGACCGACAGTTTGCAACCTACACCAGATAAACAAGAAACCGTGGTGAAACTGGTTCGTATTACACGGGCTACAGGATGGGAAAAGCAAGGCACCGTGTTGTCCGCAGAACTTTCTCAGCTTTGGAGCTGGTGGTACTGAGGGGACCTTCTCATTGAGTGTCAGGAGTTTAATTTCTTTTTAGTTTCTTTATGCTCTCATCAAACTTGGTGGTACCGCATGGTAGTCATAGATGATACCGATTATAGCATCTAACATCTTCTGTAAGCAGCAAGACCTCATGTTAATGTGCTGCTTCCTGATATCAGACAAAGAAATATTTGTGCAGGCCACAGTGAACCGGTTAAGCAAGGAAAAAAAGGCAGATTGAAAGACAGTGAGAGGATCTCCAATCAAATGAAAGCATGGCATGATTAGTAAGTGAAGGCAGTCAGCGTCTCTGGGAATGGTCTGTTACTGCATACAGTGATTCCTGGCAGGAATGACAGCTGCATTATTTCTTCTTAAAAAGAAAACACTGCACAGTAAATGCTTTACTCCTGACTCTCAGTGAATGTTGTGCCACAAGGGGCAATGATGGCATCCGAAGGGCCTGCAAGCCTTTTATTTTTCAAGCAAATTCTGCACCCTGCCTCTGGCTGCAGAGAGGTGCTGGCAGCTGAGCAAGCGGTTGCTTTTCACTCTGAAGCAGTAACGGCTCAACTCCAGCACCTCCCTCCGGGACCTGGCACCAAGGTCCTCCTTACTGCTGTTGTTTTTGCTCACTCCTTGTCCTCAGCTCAGGGTCCACTATGCTCATCCCAAAAGGAGGTGCCCTGTTACCCAGCCCAGTGCAGCAGCTCCTGGTGAGCTTTCTGTGGCTTTTCCATGGGCAATGTCTTTTTCTGGCTGCCCATCACAGCAGTGTGCTGGTGTAGTGTAGCTGGCAGGCTGGTGCTGTCTCAGATGCAGCTCTTTGCAGTGGAGAGATGCCTGAGAATGCTTCCAAGGGAGGTGAGTACAAGTCTGTATTGGATAAACAAGGTCTTTTGTATGGGCTTAAAAGCACTACACACCCATAGAAAGTCCCAAAGAAACCCCATCAGATATGATCCTTCATCACTCTCAGCCCTTTTGAAAATCCAATGTAAAATATTAAATGTATGGCTGCATATGAGCAGTGAAGGGCATGTTTCAATTGTGTCCTGAGAAATTCTTAAGATCAAATAAAAGGAGTACTTAAATAAAGTAGAAATTGACTCACGTAATTGCTAGCCTGGCATTAATGAGTAAAATTCTCCCTTGTCTGCAGAAAGCAAGCTGGAGGAGGGAAGGCTGGAAAACGGGTTATTTTGGAAACAGGGATTTTTCTGGGTTGCAATGAAGGAAGACTGCACAGCAGAGCTCTCCTCACTGCCTCCAGCTGGGGGTCCTCACCTCTTCTACCTGCTTACAGACTGCCATGCTGCCAGGCATGAGTTTCTGAAGCAGCTGTGGGCTTGGTGAAAAGGAAGGAAAGCAACAGAGGGGAATTACAGGAAATGAAGGAGGAAGTAAGACATCCTCATGCGTGTGTGCATGGTAGCCCTCCAAGGTGCCCTGGGTCACAAAGTAATAAATAAACTATCAAAGAAACTGAAGCTTTGTGCTTCAGCGTTCGTGCTACCTCTTGTAGCAGACACCAGAGTGAAGCAAAACTGCACTCTGAAATATGAGATCCAGAAAAGCAGTAAGAAAACCTGGGGAAAATCTCCAGCTTGTGCAGATCAGCCTTTCACCCAGAGACTGTTCTACACTTCATCCGCATCACTGCGTGAGATAATCACAACGTGAAAATAAGTCCTCTTTGTTCACGTGCAAAAACTAATGAACAAAGCTACTCCCACATCCTTTCTCTTTATAAGGAAGGAAAGAGTTCATTTAGAAATGACTTCAGAGCTAACACCATACAGAGAGTGAGAAAGTCCTATAGTGCCTCATTTACTTTTCCTATCACTACTTGCTTATCATCATCTGTACGAGTGCAGAGCACTGCTAATCAGTTTGCAAATTACTTGTTGCAACCAGGAATTCACTCAAATCTGCAGAAATAGATTTGGTTTTGTCCTTTTTTTTTTTTTTTTTTTTTCTTACTGCTGCTTCAGAATACATTTAATCAGGAAATTGTCTATCTTGTGTTCCCCTGCGTCTGTTTGCAATTAATGACAAAAAAAAAAAAAAAAAAAAATCATCTGACTACATGCATTGTTTTCTACCTACCTACTAACTCAGAACTCTGTGTGCATTTATGACCCCCATAAAGGACTTCAGGTCTATGAAACACAATACTTTTGTTGTAGCAAAGTCTACAAGAAAGCTGTATATAGCTCAAGAAAAACAAACCAGACCAGGGCTGCCCCCTTCTACAATATTACTGCAGACAGCTTTCCATTCACATTCCTCAGGCGATGGGTTGTAGATTAGATTGAGTTTGCAGTCTCTTGTGACCTTCTGCTTGTTTTCCTTTACACAGGTAAGAAGAGTCCACCTGCTGAGGACAAAGTAGTGCTAACACATATGAAGATATTGAGCAATGAAGGAATTCAGAACCCAGGGCTAGTACCAGAGGCTCCTGCTGATGCAGCCTGTACTGAGGAACCCCATCTTCCCAGCACAAATTTCCCACAGGACTGCCAGGGATGTCCAAATGCCACAGCCATAACAGCAGACACAGACTATGCAGAAGCCCCAGCAGGCACAGATTATGTAGCCACACTGCCTGACCTCAGCAGCTTTGAGTCCAAGTGCCGCCTTCACAGATTCTCCAAATTTGAATCTGAGGACTCGGGAGTTGAACTGCCAAGCGGAGCTAACTCTCCATCAACGCCAACGGGCTCAGAGAAGAGCTTTGTTCTTCACAGCAGAGACTCATTTTGTGACTCAGGTGTGCTTAGCACCTCATCTTCTCCAGAAATTGACCACCTGATAATGAGAGCATGTAAAGAGCGTGCCAGGAAGGTTGGCCAGCAAGGTGTGGAGAGTGAAAAGAAAGATGAGCTCTATAGCCAGGAGTCAGACGTGGTGGAGGTTCCCACACCTTCCCTTGAAGACTTCAGTGTTCCTCAGGAAGGAGAAAATCCTGATGAGCATTTTGACCAGAGTGAAAGGCAGTCTCTGGAAAAAGAACCATCCCCAGAGACGAACTCCCCCACAGAGAGCACTCTTCCCACCCCGATTCCCATAGAGGAGCCAAAAACAATTGCTGACAATTACACAGAGACCTTTGGCAGTACACAAGACCTTCAGCTCCATGGACATCAGCTGAAGAAGTACCCCACAAGTGACAGCCTGGACGAATACATGAATGAATGCTGTAGACTGAGTGAGGTAAGAAAGGCACCTAAACTGTATCTTATAGCTAGGCTTGTCTAAATATCACATAATCACAGAATTGTAGGGGTTGGAAGGGATCTCCAGAGATCATCAAGTCCAACCCCCCTGCCAAAGCAGGTTCCCTACAGCAGGTCGCACAGGTAGGCATCCAGGCAGGTCTTGAATATCTCCAGAGAAGGAGACTCCACCACCCCCCTGGGCAGCCTGTTCCAGTGCTCCGTCACCCTCACTGTAAAGAAGTTCCTTTGCACATTTGTGCAGAACTTCCTCTGCTGCAGTTTCCAGCCGTTTCCCCTTGTCCTGTCTCCACTCACCACTGAAAAGAGTCCGGCCTCGCCATTCTGCCCCCCACACCTCAGATATTTATAGACCTGGATCAGGTCCCCTCTCAGTCTTCTTTTCTCAAGGCTGAACAGACCCAGTTCACTCAGCCTTTCTTCATAGGAGAGATGCTCCAGGCCCTTCACCATCTTTGTGGCCCTCAGTTCTGCTGTCCATAACAAATTATGAGACATTTGAACTAACAGTAAAGTCCATTTCAAAAAGCTTTAGATTAGAGGATGTGCTTATGTCTGTTCTTAAAATGAAAACTGTGAAGTAAGTAATTCTGCAGAGCCACACCGCCCTGTTAGCTGGGGTGGGAGCAGAACATGGTTTCAAAGTCAGGTTATTCCTGTTTCTGGGAACAACTGGCTGGCTGTTGAGGTTCCAAAGTTTGGAGAAAACTTGTCTGAGGGGCAGTTCATTCTGCCCAGGCCTGGATCTGGCTCAAGAGTCAGTTCTCAAGTAGTGAGTGAACAGCAAATTAATGCACAAATCCAAATCTTTGCTGGGAGTTTCCATTTTACTTTACTGGAACAGCTGTGATGGAAATTCTTGTGTTCAGAGACCGACTTAATTACAAAGAAGTAATTTTTTCAGTAACTTGTGCTACTTCAAACTCACTCCTTTCCCATTGCTGGGTACACTGTGCAATGAATAGGAGAATAAAAAGCCGCCTGAGTACCTGCTCCACACTAAATGCTGGCAAGTGCTCAGGCCAGATCTTTGCCTGGAGTGCACACAGACATGCTGACAGATTGTGAACCTGCCTGCCATTGTGGCTTCCAGGAGCTAGTGACAAAAAGTTAACTCTCACTGCAAGTTAATACCTGAGTGAGAGCCAGAACAGAGAGCTCAGTAGGCAGAAGGAAAGGAGAGGGCAGGCTAAGTACCAGCGGTCACCAAACAGTGCATAGTGGGGGCTTTTCAGAACGTACAAGGTGCTTGGACCCCTCTAAAAAGTAATTCCCAAGAGCAGTACCTGTTGGAGGCTCCAGAGAGTCAGTCATCCCATGTCACACACCAGGCCTGGGGATGCTGCCTATATCATCAGAATGTGGGGCTGTGTTACCATGGTGAGTCCACGCGTGGCTTCCCATCTGGGTAACAGGATGAATTGGAAAAGGGAGGCAGGAGGGAGACAAGAGACATGTGCTGTGCATGTAACAAGCATATTTCATCATGACCTCCCTGGCCAGGCACAGACTCATCAGTTGGCCAGACCTCCCAAAGCAGTGAGGAAGGTCAGAGATGGCCCCATAGCTCAGGACCACTGCCCTTAATATTCACATCTGGGCAGCACAAGCAAATCAGATTCAAATGGAGTGTCCTTTTCCTCACCAGAGCCACCTTGCACATTCTTGTGAAGTGAGTGACTTTGATGGTTCCCAGACAGTGGCCTGGCCTTTTGGCTGGGAGCTCAGAGAGGATTGGAGCAGCAGACTTCGAATACAAGGAAACTTTTTATAAAGTTACCTAAATTCTCTGTCGCTCTGGAGGGTTTGCAGCTAGCTTGATCTTGTCTGACAGCTTTGGCTGCCCATGAAATTCCTTTAAATCCTTTGTGAAGCCAAGCCTCAGTTTCCCAAAGCAGACCATTTAAATAAACAAGAGAATAAATTAGAAAGAGGCTGAAGAGGAAATGAAGCTCTTCGTGGCTTATCTCCTCTCCTTTTTAATATCCTCACTGGCTGAGTGCTAAAGCTCTGTGCCCCAGAGCACTTCTCTGTGTTTGTTTTTGGAGCAGTACAAATACAGCTGTGACCTGGACACTGGGGAAGCCTGCCCCCCGTCACAGAGCACCTCCGGGCTGCTCTATCTCAGGAGCAGCACTCTGCTAACTGCTGGGATGTCAGCAGTGCCCAGGCTATCTGGGGCAACAACAGACCAGGGCTGCTGCTGTATTTGAGCCTCAGAGCATGAGGACAGCAACGACAGAGCTTTGTGCCCTCGCTAAACCTGCACAATGTTGTCCCATCCTCACTGTCATGCAGTGCAGGCAGGACACTGTGTGATCCAGAGTGATCTATCTGTACAGCTGATGGATGCATCTTGGTTTGCCCCAGCTGAGGCCCTGCTCTGTGCTCACTGGAGTTTTCACATGCTCCTGTCACCTGTCTGAAATGTGACTTAGAAGCCAACTCTTGTCTGTGTCCCTAAGACCATTCCAGGCTTGACATCTCTGGAAACACAGTCAGTGTCATCTGAAAGACAACAGGCCAGTACATGGAATTCCCACTCTGCTTGGCAAAAAAACATGCCCCTTCCAATTAATTCCTAATGCATTAATTCACTTGGAGTTTCCCCAGCCCAGTTGGCTGTGGTATTGCCAGTGGCTCTGAGCTTACCATCAAGCAAGGATGCAGCCCTGGATGAGGACTTGATATCCTCCAACCTTGCTGCTGAGGCTGCTTCACAGAAACATGAGGGAAAGTGCTGGAAAAGAGGGACTGGAAAAGACAAATGTTTTGATGCTTTGGATTCATTTGGTGAATGGTTTTGGTTGAAAATATACATCACATCATTTCAGTCTGGCATTTCTTAAACAAAGTGTTCTGATCTTCTGTTTTGAACTGGCGTTATTTTGAAATTTGCCTACATTTAAAAAGATGAAAGAGTGTGGAAGCTGTTAAACAACAAGAGAACTTTGAAGGCTAAATAAAAGCATTTCCTTTTAAGCCAAATTAAATGTTTTGGGTCAGTTTGAAGATACTTAGCTTTTGATGCTTTTGCTTTGCAAACACTTCCTCACACTCCATAAAGTTTACATTTAAAGTCAGCCCAGGCCCCTACAAGAAGAGAGAGGGAGGGAACGTTGTCGTCATTAAATGAAAAAAAAAAAGCCCATTAATCACACAGCACTAATTATCCTTGTCCAAAGAAGTCAAACTACTTGTCAGTGGAGAGGAGAAGGGTTGAGGGGAAGGATAGGGCAAGCTGTGATGCTCTGCCCATAGACTGTGCGTGCCGCGCGCAGGAAACCAGAAGCTATCAGCAGTGCAACCACTCGTGGACATCAGGGTGGAGTGATCAGAAATATACAGCATGATCCCTCACTTTCCTGTTATTCACAAGCCTCAGGGTGCTGTCAGCTCCCACTGACAAATGCTTCCCGCTCTGCCTATGGCGTCACCAATCAGTCGCTCCAAGCCCATGATGTGCAGCATGTGATTACATTCCTTTGCCTTTGTACAGGCCCCATGCTCCATCCTTGCTCGCCATGCTGATGGGGTGGAGGAAAGTGGATGGGGATTTCTGGAAGGACAGAGCACTGTTCTACTCAAAATTGTTCATGGGAGAAAGCAAAGAGTCTGGTAAACAACTGTCTGTCTTGCAGCTCCCACTGGCCTTCATACCTCAGTAGTGCAATAAGATAGAGCAACTCCAGTGACTTTGGAGGAAAAGCATGATTTTACACCAGCCAAAATATTGACCAGAGAGCTCCAGATAACAGCTGCAGCTCCCAGTGCAGGCACTGATCCTGTATTTTTAGGCTTCCCAAGGAATTTGTGAGCTAGCAGAACTGTGAGGATTTATTGCTGAGGAGGGCTACACCTGCTGAAAACCCATCCCCAAAACCTAGTCAGGTGAGCACTCCCAAGGGCAGAGATCTCAGTCCAGTTTCCCTTCAATCCACATGGTCAAACTGTTAGTGAGAGCAACTCAGCACAGTGGGGCTGAGACCTTGCCATCCTTTTCTGAGAGTGTCTTTCAGTTTGACGTGCCCGAAAGAAAAAGCTGGCACAATTTATACATTATATACTTACTTCCCTATTCTAACTTTAACCTTCCGATTTGTAAGCTCTACCTGATCCTCTGCATCTTTATATTAAGAAACACAGGTTTTATGCACCCAAAAATAGGCTTTTGTTCGAGTACTATTTAGCAATCCCCAGTGGGGAATGGGAAACATTTCAGCCCCGTGAGATGAATGTTTTGGGAAGCTTCATCTGAGAGGACAGACAGAAAGGGACTCCTCCTGGAAAATGTTTGCAGTTTTCCTGTGGTTGCTCCCCCACAACTTCAAGCATAAAACTCTGATAGGTGCTGAGAGGAAAATATTTATACCAATATGTGACAGAGCAGGTTCTGTACGCAGCACAGCCAGAAGATAGTGAGGGATGTGTAGGCGTTTCCAGTCCATGGAAAAAAAGTCCTGGAAGGGGCCCTGGAGAGGCCCTCTCTGGGCAAACATTTTTGGGGGCAACCTGCCAAGTTACACAAACTTTCTGTATTGAATGCCCACCACATCTGAGCAATCCTACCGCAAATGGGCCTCGTGGGAGGGCACAAAAGCTGAAGCTCTCCCTTCAAAGCTCTTACTCTTGTGTGCTACCTACTGAGATGGTTGGCCCTGCAGGGGTGGGCAAGCACTGCAGGCTCTGCCTGGTTGGTTGCCTTCTCACTCCTTTGCACCTGCTGGGATCATGGCAACAAAACACAAATTAATTTGCTGTTCAATAGCCTGAAGTTCCTGATCTGGGCACTCTGAGGGATAGCTGTAGAATGGGATCCTCCAGTATATTATACCCAGTGTGGTTTAGTTCCTCCACAAGGGTGAATCCCCCTTGCTACAAGCCTGGAACAAGTACTCTACCCCTTTTCCCTCTTTTCTTTTGGGATGGGTGACCTCTGTCCTGCCACTTCTCCTCCGGGTGCTGCTGAGAGGGACACAGAGCTCAGGAAGGCAAATGGCCAATGGAGACTTGGAGTCACAGCGGATTTTCATACCATTTCATGTGACCTCTGTCCCAGCTTCAGACACAAAAACATCTGGACATAATAACGCCTATTTATAAACAACATTGTATCATCATTTGTTTAAAAAGAAGTAAATCCTAATGCTGATTATTTTTGAACACACCATGAGCTTTCTGACATAATGAAAAGACAGGAAGAGTCCTAAGGCTGGCATTTCCCCAAAAACGTAGATTGTTGTGGGAAAGGAGACAGAGTAGGCTTCCTGCTTTTGTAGAGGGAACTTTTTTTTTTTTTTTGAAGGTAAACTTACAGCACCACTTTTATAAAGATTGAGGCTTATTTTACTTACTGACATCACACAGCAGGCAGCAGGCAGCGCCAAGGTGGAAGAGAGCCTCTGCGTGCATTTGTGAGCACTGCATCCAGCGGCGCCCTGCCCGCGTGCGGGGAAGCCCTGGGGCAGAGGCTACAGGCTGGGCATGGGGAGACGCTGCAGGTCCTGGTGGGCAGAGAGCAGCAGTACAGCCTACTCGTGGCTCATGCTTTTCTGCTGACGTACCAACACTGCGAAAATCTGCTCACGGACAGCAACACAGGCAATCCTTTTCATCAAAAATCACACCACCTCCTAGCGCCCAGTCCCAGGCAGCTGCTGTGCCTTCAGCTCAGCTCCAAAGAGACCAAGCTGAAAGCACACATTTCCAAATGGGCGACTTGTCATTCTGAAAGAACTACAGCACAGTAAAACTCACAGCATTGCAATGTTTCTCTCCAGTACTGATCATTTTTGCCCGTGCTCTGATAAAAGCATTTTAAGACCAGTTGATGCCACACTTACAGAACATCCTGACAAAGCTATATTGCAAACTTGGGCCAGCAGACTTCCTTAATATCTGAGAAAATGGCATCTGGGTTCTACTAAACTGGGAAGATGTTGTTCACAAGATGCAGATCGATTCAGGTACATGTGTCTGCAAAGAGCAGGCTGGGCTCCCAGATGCCAGTAAGGGTTGCTCTGCCATCTGTGGCTCAGGCTGTTTTGTCATTGCAGGTGAACCAAGGGAATAGCAAAGCCCTGGGATCTGGCCTGGGATACCTGGAACACATTTGCCAACTGATTGAGAAGATTGGGCAGCTGCAGGAGCACAACCTGCGGCTCCAAAAGCAAGTCTGCAGCTTACAGAAAGAGCAGAAGATGAGCCAGATAAAAGAGGTAAGCAGACAGTGTAGAATCTTTCATTAAATGATATACTCAAGGCCCATATGGGAAGTCTCCAGCCCATCTGAGGGATGATGCTGATTTTACTTGACCACCTGGGCTGGGTGCTCTGCTCTTTAGGGAGCCCTTGTCCTCCATGGTGAGCTCAGTTTCTCTTGGGGTGGTCTTAGATTTCTCTTCTCCTCCAGTTTTGTTTCTCAGATGCCCTAACTGCCATTTACTTGCTTCTGTTGAGTTAAAAAAGGCCCCCTCACCTCATGCCATGGCCAACTCTGTTGGTAGCTTTCATTTCTCTGCAGTCAAAAATGCCCCAAGAATGCATCTCCCTCTGACAGTGTTATCAAAACAAAACACTTTCATGGACTTCTGTAGCAATCACATGTTTTGAATTGCAAGTTCTTTCTTTCCCTTCTATTTTCATGTGGTCGAAATCCCAGAATTTCCCACAAAATAGACACAGTGGAAGAGAGAATTGGTGGTACCACTGCTCAACATCCATGCTTGTTTTTTTGTGTTTTCCCTTTCTGCTCTGCTGAGCTGCCAAAGGAAGAATCACAGAATCACAGAATGGCCAGTGTTGGAAGGGACCTCAAGGATCATGAATCCCAACCTCCCTGCCACATGCAGGGCCACCAACCTCCCCATTTAATACTAGACTAAGCTGCCCAGGGCCCCATCCAGTCTGGCCAACACCTCTAGGAACGGGGCATCTGCAGTCTTTCTGGGCAGCCTGTTCCAGCACTTCGCCACTCTCTCTGTAAAGAACTCAGAATTTATGACTTGAAACATCTTAGTGCTCCCATCTGTCTTTTCTTTCATTATTATTATTTTTTTTTTTAAATCAGCCAGAGCTAGCTGTGGAATTTGATTTAAATTTTCAAATCATTTCAGCTTCCTCCCACACAGCAAGTTCTCAGACCCTGAACACTTTGTTCAGCTCTGCGCCACCTCTTTTTCTCAGTTCCTTTTCTTTGGCCACCATACCAGCTTTCCACCTTTTCACCTCCCTTCCCTTTCTCCCCTTTCATTTATTATATCACCCCCAAAGGAACACAAGGGGTCTGTCACACTCAGCTATTTCTTCCCACCATGCTGTGATGAGTTTTTCATTCCTCCGACACCGTCATTCCTCCCCTGGTACTGCTCTCCCACCTGCTGGGACTGGATCTGCAGTAGGTGACCAGCTCCTTCTCAGAGCTGAAGCCAAGTTGTGAGTCAGGTTGCAGAGCAGGGAGGCTCGTCATTTCCATGTACTCATCTCTCACACTCAGAGGAATGCAACCTCCTGCATAGAGCCTGGGAATTGTTAGCACGTTTCCTGAAGCTCTACAACTGAGTCATTGCCCAAAGCAACCCTTATAAGCTGCAAATTCAGGGTCAAATCATCATCTGGTGTATGTGCACCATCCTCCAGCTCCCATTAAAATGAAAGGCACCGTGCATTTATGTAAATATTCGAAACTGGTCTTCACAGTATTTTCCAAGGTCTCTCAACACAGCCTTCTTGCCTGCATATGTCCCGTGATATGCTGGGGGGAACTGCACTCCCAGTTGTAACACTCAGCACTTGCAACATGATCTACAAAACTGAATGCTCTCCCGGTATTACTGTGGTGCCTGCATCTTCTGCATCCAAGTAATTCTCCATTATTTTCCTCCTCAGTCCCACAAGCCCTCTATACATATATATATATAAGAATATAGAAGAGAAACATTACTACCACTATTTGCCATAGGACATAACAGCTGATGTCCACATGACTTTTTCCTGGGAGGGGGGGCATCTTAAGGCTACTTGCCAAACCACAATAAAGAGGAGGTATCCTTCTTCTGCCTTTACTGCGATCCCATTAGATCTCACCAGCTTAATGACCTCCATACTTACCAAAAGACCTCCCAGACACACCTGTGGCAGGGGCTGTGTACAGAGTTGATACTGAGGAGCACAGGGAACACAGTTACTTCATGTCCTTTGCTTTACAAATGATCCTCAATGCCCTGGGTAAAAAGCAACATATTTTATCAGCTTTTCAAAGCACCCCCCCAAAAGCCCAGATACTGCAAAGTGCTATGTGAAACATATCCAAATGAGATGTTACATTAAGATTGTCAATCACAAAGTTGAAAGGCTCCCTCTCTCACTGTACCAGCTACAGCAAAGCACCACATATGGTGAGTGTTTGGTAACACGTTAGCAAGTTATGGCCTCCCATCAATAAAAATACAAGATATTGTTGTCTGTGCATGGTCCAAAACAAATAATATTATCATAAAATGTGAGTCTGTTATAATGGATGTTTATTTACACAACTGCTTCAGCTGAGCAGCTCTGTGTTTAGAAACTGTCTTCAACTCCTTCTGGCAAACAACCCCAAAAGCTGCTGAACACCAAGCAGTTCAAGTCAAGCACTAATGAATCCATGAAGAAATCTGCATTGCTTACTCTAGACTGCTCAGCCTTACAGAGAGGTAAATCCCTTATCTGGGTCCTGTCAGGTCTCAGGACAAGGCTGAGCATCCCAGGGCTGGAATGCTTGCAATCTGTCTGTGCCTTCACACTGACCCGCTACCTTGAGCTGCTGCAGCCTCACAGTCTGCTTACCTTCTCTTGTCTGGTGTAGGAGTACCTCATGCAGCATTGCTCCTGTGGAGCTGCCAGCGTGTTCCTCAACTCGTACCAAGACATGAAGACATTTTTGGCAGGGAGAAGCAGACCTCATAGCCTCTTGGTTCAGACTGGAAACCCTTCTGATCTTTCAATCATCCCAGAAATAGGAGCAAACACTGACAAGCTCAGCGACTACTGTGGTGAGTTTGGCTGCCCCAAAACTGCCCTCCCATTTGTCACCACTTGGTGAGACAAGCTGACCGGCAACTCCCTTTTCCCTAGGACAGGCAGATAGGAATGTGCCAGCTTCCCAACTAAGGTTTTGTCCCATTAAAAGATGCATTCTGAAATACCTTGAACACTTGCTCCTTCACATGTGCGAAGTCAGATTTCTTGCCCACTGTAACTGTGGCTACAGAGGTTGGGCCAAATATATTATCAAAATATCTTTCTCTTTTGGAAACCTAAACAAGTCTATTAGTATAGCTCCTCCATGTGGCTTTAAAATCCTCCCAGCCAAGATATAGTTTTATCTAAGGTGGGAAGCCTCATGCCTATTAGTCTCCTGCCCTCTCATGCAGGCACAGAACACATTCCTGGAGGATGACATACTCAATAGACCAAGAGGAAATAAACCCCAGCTGCAAAGCTTGGTCCAGAGATCAACTTTTCCAGAAGGCTGAGAATGACTGGGCTCAGCCTACTCATGTAAAGCCAGCTGAAAAGCCTAGATAAAATGTTACATGTCAACTACCACAGTAAATGAGCCTAATTGGTTTATTTCAAACCTTCAAGTTCAGCCTGCTGTTATACCCTCTGAAACACAAAACTTCAACACAGCTTCTAGCAGAACTGGGTCACTGTGTAAACGGCCTTTGGGCCCTCTAGTGCCAAAACTCAGCAGCTCTCTTTATTGGCAGTTTCAGTGCAGGGTTGAAAGGAAAATAAGACCATGAGGAAGCCAACAGAAAGTCTGCCCCGATCATGCACGAGCTTGGATCATTTACCTTCCTTGCACCAAATTGTGGCATGAAGACAAAAAGTTTTCTGTCAGTCATTAAGCCCTAAGAGGACTCATCCTGTTGCTGGCAGCACTGTCCACCAGGACGTTACTTAGAAATGTGAGTACAAATATAAGTCCTTGCATTTCATTGCAGGAAGTGAGAGATACCCAGAATCAGGAAACAGCCATCCAACAGCAGGGCTCAGGAAGTTGTCGAACAATAGGAACAAGGAAAATGAGTTCAGAGAAGGTGGTGGCATGGCCGAAAGACAGGCTTTTCCACCAAAGGATTCTGCAGCCAGAAAGGTGAGTGATAAACCTGGCGCCAGGCTCTGGGTGAGATCTGTGCGGGAAGTAGGGAGTTCTGCTCAGGCAAATGCAAAGTCAGGCACTGGGAGGACAAGCCCACACTGCCTGCTTTCCACGAGGGCTGGGGCATGCAGGAAAGTGTGCTCTGTATGCTTCTGGTCCCAGCCTCAAACAAAGATCGTATGCCAACATGGCTAGAAGGGCACAGAGCAGGTACCCAGTGTGTACCAACCCCAAAGAGTTTGATGCATGAAGGCAGTTCTAAGCACCTTCACTAATACTGCCAGCGAGATTAAAGCAAGCACATGTTCATTACTGCAAATAACAATTTCAGTGGGTCAGCCTGTAGCTTATTGCCAGACTGGCAGCATATCAGTGTAATAATCAGACCTCAAAGCTTGTTTTAGGGAAGCCCTATCACTGAATTCCAAGGAAGCTGCAACGAATGGTTTTCCTCTCTCTCTCTCCCATTGTTTGTGGCTGCCTCAGCACTTTACTGTTCCAAGGGGGATCAGAAGTGCTGAAATACCAGTGCAGAGGCTCTAATCAGAGTATTCCCAGCCCCACAGGAAGGAGGAAGGAGTAAGTCTCTCACGGGAAAGACTTTCTCATGAAATTTCCACGTAAAGTTGCAAATTGGTTGCAAACATTTGCATGAACTCCATAAACACTGTCAAGAACATATCCTGAAAGATGCTCAGTGCTGCAGCTCGTGTCTAGCAAAGTTCTGGCTATGAACATTATTTAAGTGCATGGGAAGTCCTGATTACTTATTTCACAGCACAGCAGAACTGAGATCCACACTTCTTAAACTGAATCCTAGCGCAGTCTTCCTACATCGCATCTTAGTATAGTCACTCCTATATTTGGTACTGCGGACCTTTACCTTCTACAGTTGCAGGAGCTGTATGGGAATCCTGCCACACCATTCCAGATGCAAGAGGTATGTGAACTGGCAGTCTGAATAAAAAAGAGAGGCAAAAAGAAAAGGAAAGAAGGGATTACCATCCATATGTAAAAGGCAGAACCACAAAGAGATTAAGGGGTATGAGTGAAGTCAGGGCAGAGATGAGAAGACAGTCCAGCTTGTTCCCACCTCTCTGAGATGGTCTCACTGTCACAGTACTTACAAGTCTATTTTTCTTTGCTTTTAGGGTCTGGAGACCAGCAAGAACTGTTCGGTAAGTACTGCTTTGTGGAATATATTTTGCTTGTATCTGCACTGCCATGGACCTAGCTCCCAAAGCACACAGCATTTTACATAGAAAAAGAGATTCGCTGACCCCCGAGGATTTTTGCCAAAGTAACAGACCACATATGCTATTTTTATGACTTACTGCATTTGTTCCATTGTTCTCCCACTCCCACAATAGGCAGTAGCTAGCTAGCTAGGAACAGGCAACTGCTCAGCCTTTGTGGCATTAACAGTGCTGGCTCTTCTGGGACACCTCGGGCACAGCCAGGGACTGCCTTCCCACAGTGCAGAGCTGCCGAGGCCTTCAGAAGTCTGCTGCAGCACACGTTAATCCTAGTAAGAAACACAAAGGTTTGATATTTCCATGAGTAAACAGTTTCTTACGGGCAATTAATTCAATAGCACAGAAAACGCTGCAGTTTTCAGCTGAGCCCATGACCTCATCTGAAGTTTTGAAGTGGAAATTTAGCTGAGCTTCAAGAATTACTGCAATAGGTTCTGCTTTGGCAGCTGCCAGGTCATGCTGCCAAGATGGCCCGGGTTCACGGAGCTGTGCTGGAGCATGTGCTCTGCTGGTGGCACTGTGGGATGGCAGCTCAGGACAAGGCCCAAAACATGGCAGTGGTTCTGAGAATTTCACCAAAATAGGCATCAGCAACATTTCTACCCCTGGACATGATTTTTTGCCTCTGCTCCCAAGGTTTTCCAGCCTTTATTTTAGGAAATTTAAAACAACATAGGAAAAAAAAATATTGAACATTTTTTATACCTTTTTCTTCCAAGTTAGTAAGTCCATCCTAAGACAGCAAACATTAGGGAGGACCTCATGAGGCTCCATGACCTGATAATCACCATTAGCATTTCAAATGAAAGCACTCAACAGCTGCAGCCTGTGAATGTGACAGAGAGACAAAGGCTTGGTGCCTTCTAATTCATGGGCCCCAAAAAATGACACCTTGAGAAGGGCTGATACCAATGCACCTGGCCTAATAAAAAGGCAAAGAGAGTCAAGCTGCTTTTTTGGGTAGTTTGCTGTGTAAAGTCCCCCTCCGCACCCCTGTAATGGGTGCAGGTAAGTCGTAGAAAAAACAAACCACTTCTCTTTTCCTTTAGTACAGTGTAACAATGAGGTGCAACGCGGCTTTAGGCAGCTGCTCAGCACTCACCAGGGAACTGCTAGGTTTAACTAAAACCAAGGCTTTTCCTATGTGTCCAAAATAAGGCAGCACAAAACAGTTAGCACTGTATGCACTGGTGAACTGCGCAGCTGTGGCGGAGTCACAGACCTATATGAGTTCCTTACCCCTTTATCTTGGGATGTATTATGAGTGGGAAGCTCCCTTCTTCCCACCAACCTAGAGTACACCAAAGTATCATATGCTGGCCAGATGAGGTCTGCCAGCAATCAACCTCTGGTCCCAGTTACAGCTTCTTCTTCTCCCTAGGGTGAGAGCCATGCGTGGGGGAGAATGAGAGATCTTATGAGGAAGACAAGGCTGAGAAACCAAAGCAAGCTGGGGCTGTCCTCTGCTGCTCTGAAGAGGTCCTGCCCACAGTTGTACAGGTAGGGCAGAGCTGCAGGAGGGTTTCACTCAGTGCTGGTGCAGCTGGTGGTGACAAGAACATTTTTCTGAGTGAAGACCCTCCTTACCTTCTTTCTTGTATAAGAGCGTCCTGGCCAGCACAGCCCTTTGCCTAGGTGCTCTAAGATCCCCACTGGACAATGTTACCTATGTGAAAATAACAAAAATATTGGGGTCCCTAAGGAGGTGCCTACCACTTGCCATCACTAGCAAGGGTCACTCCAGTGACTAACTACTACATCTATTAAGAGATCTGTGCTGGTCCCTCAGGTCAGTTTGCTGTCTGAGCTGCAGCACTCTCTATGCAAGGTGATAACAGCATCCATTGCACAAATCCTCTCTGCATGCCTGTCAAGTACTCCCAGCTGGTCTGGTGGATTTGTGATGTTTGCATCTATAAGCAGGTAACAGGAAGAGCCTGAGTATCTTACCAAAGCAGGAGAATTACATGGAACTGGGCACCTCCCTGTGTTTTTTCAGCTGAGGTCTTGGTAACCTCGAGGGGAACAGCTTGGATGTGCTTAAGCCCTCCTTGGGTTTTCAGAGGGGCAAAGATAGGGAAACAGCAGTTGTTTAACCACTCAGGAACATCCCATTGTTCCCTCTGATAGCCTGCACCTACCTTACAAGATGCACAAGGGAACTGGAAATCTTGTAATTACAGCTGGAGAAAACCCTCTGTAGTTCATGGACTGATTTTTCCAGCTGGGAGAAGCTTAGCTGGGGCCCAAACACATGGTAACAGGCAAGCTTCCTCCTATTGTTTGTGAAACTGAAAGGACTACAAACAGAAAGAGATCAAACAGCTCCATCTAAAATAGATGGCGAACCAGCTGGGGAAAACATACAAACTCTTGTGAACCTGCCCTCTAAAACTGAAAAAAATGAGACCCCATGTGGGCTTCAGAAAAATGCTGTCTCTGCCACCCCCCACAGCCTTTTCTATGCGGCACTGAGGATGCTGCCAGCACTCCCTGGGTGAGAATTACAGCCTAAGTAAATTCATTTTCTTCTACTGAAAGGCCATCCCAACTGTTCCTAAAAGAGCTACTTTGGCATACATATAGGACAACTAAAACACATAGAAAGGCTGCAGAATGAGATGCCAAAGGGATGACTTTTACCTGACTGAAAATGGGCAGCTCCAGAAACCTGGCATGCTGATTTTCCCAGGATGCTTCCCGTAGCTGGTAAATAAACAGCTTTCTCTAACATATGGGCATAGACACTTCGCACATGTCCCATGCCCCTGAAGTCTCTCCATTCCCTCTTCTCCTGCTTTCCAACTTTGTTCACTTGCCCTATCCCTATTTGCTCTCACCCTCTCTAGCGCACATCCTGCAATAGCAATGCATTGATGTTTGTTTTTTGCTGAGGCTTTCTAGGAACGTTGCTCTTAGGGCATTTTAAGTACCTACTACCCTCAGGCTCATTTAAAATAAGGCACTGAGCCTCAGTAAATCAGCGACAGCTCTGCAAATGCTGCTGGACAGAAAGTCGGGCCCATCCTGCAGCAGTACCATGATAACAAAGCAAAGCAACGTAAGCACTGAAGCCCTGATAGTCTCAGCATTTAAAGCCACTGCCTTTGTCACAATTTATGAAACATGTTTGTCCTGGCACTTGATCCTGTTTGTGCATGCAGGCACACAGAATTGGCTGTCTTTTGCTTACCCAGGCTTCCTTGGGCTCAGAGGCATCTCCCAAGGTCTTGAACTGGAGCAGGCTGTAGCCTGGTATCCCACAGTTAACATACAGCTCTGAAGGAAGCACAGATTTGTTGCCTTTGACACTCAGGCCCACTTGAGTCATTCAGGCAATTAGGGAAAGTCTATTTGTTTTTGTTTTTGTAACTAGGTCAAAGCAAGTCGCCTTTCATGCTCCCACTGTTTATGATGAATGATCTGCTTCAGGGCGGTGGCTCTGTTTTTCTTTTGTCTGTTTTTTCTTTTTTTCTTTTTTCTTTTTTTTTTTTTTAAAGTCCACAAAAGAATTCTCACAGTAGTGAGAGAACTTGGTTCTTCCAGCAGGAGAGACAGAGCCTGCCAAGGTAAACACACTGGCACAAGACTTGGTGGTTTGTCATATATTGTTCCAGCCAGGCTTAGGTTTTCGTTTCATTTTCTGTTTCCTAGTAGCACTTTCACTCCTGCAAAGTCTGTTTTTCTTAGAGGGCCAGAAGAAGCTGATAGACGACTTGGTCATGGAGTTGTGAATTTAACAGCATATGGACCTGAGCCTGACACATAGCAGAAAAGTAGATTTCTCCCTCAAATCCTTGCAGAAAGTACTCTCCACAAAGAGCAAGGAACTTCCTTCCAGCTCAAATGATCCCTAAGACAAGAACTCTCTGTCTTTGCACTGTGAACTGGTTTCAGTGACAGAAGACTGTTCTCAAGTGACAGTCTGGCATCAGAAGGTCAAATATTTGCCCTGAATAAATAATTGCAGACTGACACTGACTGGAGAGAATCCAGCTGGGCTGTAAGTTCCGCAGGAGCCCACCTTGAAAAATTTATTGCCACTCCATCTGACATTATAAAGTACATGTGGAACTGCCTCTAGCTAGATTGACATTCCTACCAGTCCCCAGAAACCCAGGAACAAGTAGGAGCACATAAGTGCCTCTGAGATATTTTTCCCTTATTTTCCCCGGCACCATTTTTGTACACGGGAGACTTGTAATCCGTTGCTTCTCGCCCTGACTGCAGCTGAGAAGTAGTCCCAGCCATTTCCACAAAAGCCATTCAGCTCAGGAGCTTTACTGATGCTATCTGAAATCCCTTCCTAGGGCAGGCTCTAATGTGGGAAACTTCAGATAATCCCAGCCTGGTACTCCTGTTGAGACACATCCACCTATTTATCTACAGGCGTTGCAGCTCTAAGGTAGCTATGTGGGCTTGAGCTAACCTCAAGTTATGGTATCTTTTGTGGGCAAGGACATTAGTTTCGATCTGACAGCCGCTGAAAGCCTACATCTGTATGACAGCTACTTGGTGGTTAGCATGAAGTAAGCTAGGAAGTACAGTGCCACACCAATATGCCAAAGTCCCTGTCCAGAACAGCCTTGTGCAATGACTGAAATCCCATGACCCAGATCTTGCAGGCCTGGGTCTGAGTTGCACTCTTAGGGAAAGTTACTCCCATGGGAGCAGAGGCAGCCAAAAAAACTAAAGCAGCAAGGCTTAAATTCAGCCATTTCACTGCAGAATACTTAAGAATTAATGAAAAAGAAATCCTACAACATTTAGGAAGAAAAAAAATCAGTAGCTAGAAAATAGAAATCAGCGTCATATCAGTTGTGGTTTGATTTGAACAGTTCTTCAAACCAAATATAGCAATGAGCTATTTGCTAAACATTTGAATTGCTTCAAAATTTTGCATTTAATAAAAAAAAAAAAAAACACCAGAAAACACAACATATGTCTTCACTTTCTCAAACAGCAACTATTTTTACGAAGTGTTCTAGAAGATTTTTCTTTCCCAAGTCCTGGAGGCCTGTGCCATTACAACCAAACAGAATGCACTGCACTTACTGCATTGGGAAGCAATAAGGAACAACTGCAAAGCTGGAGACAGCCTAAGCAGTGAGCTTAGTCCTGTTCTTTCCAATTCTTCACCTCCTACTGAAGACCAGAAGCGTTTAAGCCTGTGACAGTGAGCCGCCAATCTCTCCCTCTTTGCAACATCACACCAAATTATGCATTTTGTAGTGTTTTGGGTTTCTCTTGGATGCTCCCACAAGTATTTAGCCAGCACGTGGATTGGAATTCTGGACTGGCAAGGGGAAGAGCATTGGGTGCTGTTTGGATGGTGGGTACATATGCACAGCACGTTAGTGCTAAAAAAAACACCGTGTGTGCTGACTGCTGTCAACTTTAATTGTATTTTTCTTTTTATTTAGGCCCGATATTATGTCTTCAGAGCTGAGAAAAGCTGAGAGAACTGAGAGGAACTCCATGATTGTTTTGGGGCAAAATACAAAGAATGAAAACATATGGCCTTTCTGATAACTCAAGTTAAAGGGGACAAGGTAAAGTAAGTAAAACTTTTCCACTCAGCACAGAAATTATGCAATTCTGTTCCCTCGTCCAGACACGCTCCAACAGGCACAGAGCAGATTCTTGAAGTTCAAATTGTATGGATTTATGCCAGCTGAAGACCAGCCCATATGCCTTTGAATTAGTTGACACATTCTGCCCCCTCCTCTTATAAGAAGAAAAAAAAAGAACAGTTAATTTTAGGCAATTATAGCCATTTAGCCTGCATTACACAGGCATTCTGCATTCAGTGCAGAAAGAAATGCAGCAGCAAGTTCAGTTATCTGCAGTCTTAGTCAAATACTCCCAAATAACAAAGCAAACATATATTGGGAAACAATCTGCTCATGATAAAAGCTAAAAGTGAAGCAGACTCAGCCCACTGGGTAAATGCAGAACAACCCTTTCTAGTCCCTCACATTCACCACATGTTTTTGTTTCAGGAAGAAGTGGGAACAATTGCGGACACAAAATGGAAGAGCCCAGGGGTGCTTTGTGCAGCTTCGTGTACCCAGCATCCTCCAGCTGTTGGCAAAGCAACTCTGATTTGAATGTTGGAAGGGAAAGAAGGAAAGGGGACAAGGATAATGGTCTGTGGACAGATGCATACTCAGCTACCTATGGCTTTGCTCCTGAACCTACCACATACTCACAAGCCAAAGAAGAAGAAACTTGCAGCTAACACCTTGGTACCATAACTAGGAGAGGCTTTTAAATGAGACTTGATAATTAATTCTTCCTCCTACCTGTGCTAGGAACAGTACTACCTGAATCACCAAAGCAATTATCACTGCTTCCTGGGGACCTCTTACAGCTGAAATGAACTTCAGCCTCACAGTGGCCAGAGGAGCACTATATGCAGAGATGGCCATTGCCTGCACTCCTCCCTCAGGCCAGGGGCTGCAGGCTGCTTGCCCTCAGCACACTCCTCCCTTCCCAGCAGGGCCTCACCAGCTATGCAGTTTTAATCAAATGCAACAGGAACAAAAGTCCATAAAGCCAAACTCTCCCCCAAGGCCGTTCAGAAACCCACCACCAGCTGCACCTTTTGCAAACACTCCTTGATTTCAGTGCCATCCTAACACAGAAGTCAACATGGTGAATGGCACTGCAAGAATTGACCATTAGAGAGTTGGGAGGGTACATCCATGGCAGCATCTCAGCCATCCAGCAGCCCAGCTCTCTGTCAGGCTGTGCTGTCCACCTTCTGGAAGAGCAGGGCTGCAAGGATGAGTTACTCACACACATCCTCTATATTCTGTATCTAGGACTGTTCTTTTAGATCTCTTAGGTTTTGAGGTTTATTTTTTTTTAATGCTGGTGCCTCATTGCCACATCTCCACAGAGCTCAGAGAATTGACAGCATCTGTTTCTGAAGGTGCTGCAGCTGCCACAGTGATCTCTGCTCTTTTGCTGGTAGGAGCTGGTGCTTTTATACCTATGGAGTAAAAATTCAAGCAAGCCAACTTCGTCTCTTGTTACAGGAGCATGCTACTCCCCTGAATTACAATATAACTGTCAATCAGGCACTTGCTATTTAAAATCCTTTCTGGGCTACCCTTGGGAACTGAGATTTCAGAAGATGACAGTAACATGCCAACTTCAGCAGGTTTAGCCTTTCAGCAGCAGGTGCTTCCCTTCTGCTCATGAACAGCAGTTGGAGCCCTCCAAGGCAGAGCAGGATCTCTTCTTCTGAGATTCTGTAAGCCCAGTTCTAGCAGCAACACAAAGCAAAGAGTTGTTGCTCACTAGAACAACAGATCATGTTTACTCAGTGCAAGTATAATTTGCAGGTGAAGTTCAGTGTAGCTGCTGTTATTTAGCATCTAAAAAAAAAAAAGTTTATGCTGACTCACAGTTAGTACCCTGAAGTAGGTGCTGTGTTTAATATTTCAGTTGTCATTAATTACAGCTGCTGTTGTAACACTTGGTTATTCACTGTATATTTTGCTAGCTTCATCCAAAGCTAGAGATATTTATGACTTGATTATTCTGTGAATAGTCTGTATATCTCCATAAATCCCAGGGGCTAAAAATCCTGCCTCAACTTACACCCTCCACCCATACAGACACTATGAGGAATATGAATCAGTGTAGAACTGGACTTGCAGTGTTTCAGGAAAGTCATGAACTGGTGTTTTCCCATCCCCTACTCTCCTCACATTATAGGTGTTATGGTTTTTAAAATTAAGATGAACTAGCACTCTTTTTATTACTGCATTATATGAAATATATTCATGTATTTTCAAAACTATATTTATAACCTGTAACATACTGTATAGTTTGCCACTTTTAGATATGCTTGTACTACAACTTAATAAGTTTAATAATAAAATCATCACTTATTAAATAACTGGTTTCAGTTCTCTTACTAATGAAAACCAGGGGTGGAGTACAGTTACTGGTGGCACATTTTTCAGGTAAACACAGCTCATCAAGAAAGGAAGCATTACCTCTGGGCTTCCAACAGCTTCAGCTCCTATAAAGGACCACCTGCTGCTTTGGAGAGTCTGTTGCTTTTTCCCTACAGGCACAGCTGGGAGAGGTTGGTTTGAGCAGCTCCATGGCAGAGAGCTGCACTGGGCTTCGTGCCCACAGCTATAGGCAGGCACAGCAGAGCAGCACTCAGCACTGCCACAGGGAAGAGGAAAGACACCCAGGACAAGGAACACAGATGCTCAGGACCAGTGTTTCTGGAAATCCAGATTTAGCAGCAGTGCTGCTCAATTGCCCTGTCTCCTTGACTGACTGGAGTTTGGCGTTTTAGGGGTGTTGGTACCCCACAGAATACCCCCGAGCCCGGCACTGGCCCTGGAGCTGCTTGCAGACAGCCGGGCGCCGGCAGAGCACGGCCATAGCACGCGTCAATGCCCCTCCAGCCCCTGGGCTTGCTTCCAAAGAGCTTCCAGTCTCGTACAGCCCCTAAGCACCTCCTCACCCAGACCCCCAGCCTCATCAAGCTGATTGTTGGCTTCAGTACGCACGCACCAACCCGCGGGAGGGCAGCATCGAGCCCCCGGCCGGGCCCCGACGGCCGCACCCCCGCCCCGCACGGGACGCTCCCGCAGCCTTCAGCTATCAGCCTGCACGCACGATTAAGAGCGGAGCTGGAGGACAGCTTCTGATCTACTGAGGTGTGGTTAGCACTAATCCTCTCGTTGCCCTATAATAACGCAGGCTGCTAAAGACAGGTCAAAAGGCAGACAAATTCATGCCCTGCATTCCCAGATAAGCTGCACGAATACCATTTAGCTGCAACAGGCACTCCCTTAAGGGAGGCGTTAGACTTACTCTCAGCTGATAATGGCTCCAGCCAGAGAAGTCTGTGCATGATAGGGCAGAGGGCATCACCTGCTCCTGTCCTGAACACGAGACGACTAAGTACTGCTTATCCTGTCCTGGAGGTAGCAGGAAAGAGCAGCACAGCCTCAACTGAGCTGGTGTCCTCGGGGGCAATGGGAGATTCCCAGCTCCTCTTTATAGCCACATGCTATCCTACATATCCCAAAGAGACAGCAGATGAAAAAATACCTTAACTGGTTTTGCTGCTCTTGAGCTTAGTGTTTGAGAGGAGAAAAAAAAAAAAAAAAAAAACACTGATCTTAGCTTTTTTTTTTTTTTTTTTTTAAAAAAGATATCTGAAAGAAATGCAGACCCCACCCAGCATCACTCCTAGCTCAGCCCGCAGATTCCCAAGACAGGGCAGAGGCTCCTTCTTGACATCAGCATAGTTGCACCAATCCCATGGCAGAACAGACAGACAGCAAGATAAGTTTAGATAAATGGCATTTGGAGAACAGCCACCAGGATCATTTGTCTTGCAAAAAAAAAAAAAAAAAAAAAAAAAAAAAAAGCAAAAAACAAAACAGTGCCAAGGCTTACTCCTGTTCCACTCCTCCTGCTCTGGATTAGGGAGAAGGCATCCCAGAGACTTAATGTGTTTGGGAACCACTTTATTGCAAAACAGGTGCCGGTAATGAGATCACTTTCTCCACCACAGCACAGCAGCCACCAACACCATGCTCAGCACTGCCCCAGCAGCCACAGCAGCAAAACCCAGAGCCCAAGGGGCTGCAGCTGCTCCTGTAGAGGAGAGAAGCCCCAGTTAGAACCAGGCTGGGAAAGGACTGGTCCATACTCCTACTGAGTTGCACACTTACTGAAGTCATTCACATCAGCTACTTGTCTTAGCTCATCCTGCAGGAAAATAACAGGGCCTTTGCTGGAAACACGGGAGGCACTGTCCTTAAGGGTATACTCAGCACTTCTTTTACCTCCTGTGGAACAGCAAGAGAGTTGTAGGTTACAAAGATGCCTAGTCCTCAAGGTCAGGAGGCTTTGGCCACCTTCTCAACCCTCAGACGAGCCTGCCATGGATCAGAACAGAGAGAAGAGCCTACAGTGACCCTTGCATTTCTGTCAGGGAGGCAAGAGCCTTGCCTTAGAGGAAAGGAGCAGGAAATGCCTGCCAGTCTGTACTAAGGAACAGCATGTGCACCTGCCCACTGGCTGGGAGACCAGAGCCCTGCTGCCCCTTGAGATGCAGCAAGGCAAAGACACTTACTGGCTCTAGCAGGACAAGTGTTGGTGCAGGACTCCTGCACAGACCGGTGGCACACTGAGGCACTGCAGTGCAGGTACACCTAAAGAGAAGGCAACACAGAACTGAATTGCTCACTATCTACAGACAAATTATATCCTGCTGTGGTACATTGAACTTGTCCAACATAGCAGCTTTGATACTTTATCCACATGGACTTCGAACTACATCTGATCTGGCATTACAGCACATCTCCCAGACTCCTAGAATTAGGTCAGTTGAGTAAGCACTGCCTAAGTACACAGCTGGGACTAGTTTGGAGTATTGGTTGATTCAGGAGCACTGAACAGACAGCACAGGAAATAATAAAATTCATCACTGAAGTGCTCAGTAATTCACAAGATTCATAGTCCAGAAAGCTACTTCCAAGTCATTTTAGCCATGAAGTTTACAAATTTGATCTGTATAGTTGGACCACATGCACTAAACCATTTCAACACATCCTGGGCAGCAAGCTAGCACTTACGTAATCTGCCATTTCAGTAATCTCATTTTCCATCACGTTCCTCCACTGATACATCGCCTATACTCAAAATCATCTCAGGGAAGACACGAGACCACTTAATGTGTGAGCAATAAGAACCAATTCAAGAGGAACCCAGGGAACAAGGAAGACTGCTTACCAGCCCAGAAAGCAGCTCTTGGGATGCAGAGTCCACAAAGGTAAACGTGTAGAGGGTGAAGCGCTGATAATGTGATGGAAACAGTAATCCTGAGGCAGTACTAAGAGGTACCAGCTGTGTCTGATAGTTGTCTCCTGAATAAGGGCACCTGAGAAAGAGGCCAGAAGTTAATGAGTGCAAGTCATTCCCCCACATCCAAAGTTGTTTACAAGCCACTTACCCATTCACCAGGACAGGCCACTGTGTCTGTTGATGAGGATTTATACTTGGTGTGGCCCAGCAGTGGTGCAGTAATAGAACCAGGTCAGGGTCTGTCCTCTGAAGGATCCTAACTTCTATGTAAATAGGGTTTCTTAGAGCCTTCACAATGGGATAGTCAGTGTCAGTGTAGTAGGAACTATATCGTTCATCTGGGTGAGAAAAAAGGGCTATTTTAGAGCAGGAATAAACAGGTAGAGAAACTGAGAGCATCCTTCATAGCCGTGACATCAAGTCTTGAGAGTGGCAGAGAAGCAGTAATAGAATTCACTCCCTTATTACCCAGCAGAGAACAGAGCCCCACACCAAGAAGCCAGACCAAGTCCTGTAGACTTCTCACACCTGAGGCAATACGCAGCTCCAAGGACAGAGGACCAGGCTGGGAGACAGCAGGGAGCGGTGGCAGCGTGAAGACCTGAACACTCAAGGGGACAAAGCTCCCAGTGATGGCATAACTACAGCGGACATGTAACCTGGTGGGACAAAAACACTGGGTCAGGCAGATAGGTACTCTGGCATTGCCTAGCTTTTCCCCAAGATCACAAACTGGTATCTGCCTTAATTATATCTCCAGAGTATCCTCCAGTGCTTCTTCATAATTAGTCAAAATTCTCTTCAGAGTTTAAATTCGAGTCCACAGGGTGGCATTGATCAGCACCAGTTTTATTCCCTTTAATTGGAGGCATGCCAGTCCCTAGCCTACTCAGGTGACTGCTGTACATTCCAAACTTGTGTGCATGTTCTCTGGACAAGTTCCTGCTTGTTACAGCAGTGCCTGCCCCAGGGTATTACCTGAAAGTGCTGTCCCTAGTGATAGAACCAAGGCTCCCCATATTCACATCCCTGGATGCCACCAACTCATTCTCATATATGGCATGGTCTCCAGTCACCTGCAATGACAGGACAGACATTTTTGCTGCACTGGAGTCAGGCTGGAGAACAATGGTTAGCTTCTGGAAATCCATAGGGTGCCCAATGCATAGTCAAAGCCACATCAGGTTGTTCCAGATCAGCATGCTTCAGTTAGTTCAGCTGCAACTCTCACCTGAAAAGTAGTGCCACAGGCAGAGAGGGGGAACTGGTACACAACAAAGGCATTGTTTTTCATTACAGGGATGCAGCCAGCACTGCGCCCACTGGCTAGATGCACAGAGTCCAGGATAACAGGTGGCAGGGTCACATCTCGAGAGACAGCAATGGAAAACTGTCCATCTGGTGTGCAGTGTGCTGTCACTAGGGGAGAGAAAAAGAGTCAGTTGTAGGTCCAAGGAGAAACAGCCTCAAACACAGTACAGAGAAGAGCAGCAAGACCTTCTTGTAACTCCCACAGCATATGCTGAGTAAAGCAAGGTAGAAATGCTGGTACAAGTGCTACCAGCACTGGATACTCTCAGCAATACTGATTCTAGCCATAAACCCAAGCCTGTTGCAATACTTATTATTGGTTGAATACGTTAATGAGTTTCCTTGACAACCAGAACCACAGCCCTAAGCCATCTGCATGACTGGTACACCAATCCTCTGCCAGGGAAAGCAGGTACTCCAGCCAGCTGTTGCATCAGAGGGGAGGATGGCCATTCACACTCACCTGTGTTACCATAGTAGCAAGTCTTGACTTTGTCTCTAGGGTTGTAACAACAGCCTCGCACTTCACAGTCTCCCTGGCTGATGGGTGAAGAGGCACAGGGCAGCCGGTCCTGGCTGTGGACAGCAGAACAGACACCACTGCTAGGAGCATCCAGTGCTGCAAGGAACAGGAGAATCTTGCAGCAAGAGCACAGTAGCAGAGGATCAAGGGCACAAGGAACACTAGTTTGATTTTGCATACAAGTCAAGGGAAGTTTTATGGACTCAGGTGAGGGTCAAACATGC